AGTTCAGCACTTGCGATGTGCAGCTTCTGCCTTTCCTGAAGCCAGCTTACTGTGGGATCAGACAGGGGTCTATTTTTTCCATAATTCTATGCAAAATAAGTCTCTCCAGAGCTTTGTAGAGGTGGCACAACAGGGAGATTGGTCTGTAGCTTTTGGAATCATTCCGGTCTTTGCCTGGCTTCAAGATGGCGATGACTCTTGCTTTCCTCCAGATTTTGGGGATCTGACAGGATGCAGTGCAGTTGTTCATCAGCTCCAGCAGCCAGCGCCTTGCTTTGGGACCAAAGTTCTTGATTTGTTCCATCCGTAGGTCATCCAAGCCATCTTCTTTGTCATTCTTACATTTATTGAGAGCCATCTGTATGGGTTATTGAGGGTCATCTGTATGGGCTTGAGTCTTTGGAACCTACACATGCCATATCTGATGCAGGGAACCACCAGGGGCTGGTAGAGTGTGATGTTTCCAACTTGAAACATACATAAGCATGGGAAACTCACTTTTGAGTTTCAGGCCTTCTCCCTCCAAACGGTCCAGAGCAGAGTTTTCTTCAGGCGTCCAAGGACGGGGAGATGGAGGCGGCGGAGGAAATCTCTCTCCCTGGGCAGTTGGAGAGCAAGCTTTTGTGCTCCAATGCACAGCAGCACTTGTTAAAGGGCAGCTCATTTGAGTGAAAATGTAACCTTTGTATGGGTGCCAAGGTCACTGGGGACCTGTGGCCGTTGGTGGTTAAGTGCCGGTCATACAGCCCCCCCCCTCCGAGCCTCGTGATGCTAAATGGGGGGGGGGGGCAGGGAAGAGAAGGCTTGGAACACGTTTGGAAGCACGGTTCTTGTTCAAAGGCGAGCCCCTCTTGTGTTCCTTTTCCTGGCAGCCTCTTGCAGATCTGCTCTGGAAGGGGAGGCGAATTCAGATTAATTGGCACGAAGGGACAGATGCTGCCGATGGGAGCGGGAGAGGGCCGGCCCAAAGCCGCTTTCCCATCCAAGGCGCTCCATTTTGTTCTGAAATCTTTGGAGACGGGGAAACAGTTCCCCTGCTCCTTTCAGCTCTCTTTTGATCCGTCCAGTTTCAAACTAGGCTTGGGCGGTTTCGTTCATTAATTTCGTAATTCGTTATTAATTCGGATTTAAATTAGCTTACGATCCAATATTGAGCCATGCAGGACTACTGTGAGGAGTAATTAAAAAATCAAAACAATTTTTTTCAATTTATTTCGTATTGTTTCATAATTGTTTCGTAATTGTTTCGAAATTGTTTCGAAATTGTTTCGTAATTATTTCCGTATGTCTGGTGCAAGTTTTATAGTTGTTGTTTGTTTTATCAGTGATAAAAAATAAATTATCACACCAACAGTCAACAACAGAGGGAGAGGGAAGCTTCAGAAGTTCCCCCTCTCCCATTTGGAGGGTTTTTTAGCATATTGCGCAATCGCGTCCGCAATTAATGAATCGATTCGTAATTTTACGAAATTTCGTATATTTCGAATTTTTTTAAAGGAAAATTTTGGAATTCTTTAAAAAAACGAAACGCAAGGGCCCCCTAAACACGAAACGAGTTTAGAACCAAATTTTTCCGTGGTTACCCAAGCCTATTTCAAACCCTTTTACAGAAAGTGAGATGCAATGCGTCTCAAATGCCACTTCTATCATAGAATCCTAGAATCCTAGAGTTGGAAGAGACCTCCTGGGCCATCCAGTCCAACCCCATTCTGCCATTGGGACCACTTTGGCCCTACTCCAATCTGCTGGAACTTCTCCCGTTCTCCAAGAACTCTCCAAGATGATTGCCAATGGTTCCAAAATGACTTCCGCTCGTTCCTTCAATACTCTTGGGTGGAGTTGATCTGGCCCCGAAAGGCGACTTGGACTCATTGAGAGCGGCCAGGTATTCCTGGACTACTTGTTTCCTATTTGGGGTTGGATGTCCTCTAATCCCTCACCCACTCCATCTTGCTGAGGTTGAAGATGACTTTCTTTTTGTGAGAAGACCGAGGCAAAGAAGGCATTAAGTAGTTCTGCCTTTTCCCTATCATCCTCTGTCAGTGTTGCATCCCAGTTCAAGAAACAAGACCATAAGATTAAATCCACCACTCTGGACTGTAGGAAAAGCAATCCTTGTTTATTGATGAAAAATTGGTTACAAAAGAAAGGTAAATGCAGAGTAAAAAAGCCACAGAAAAACACAGTAGTCAATAGGATCTCTGAACTTGAGCAAAACTTCAAAAGCCACAAAACAATAACCAGGAGTCTGTTAGCCTTTTACTAACCATGAACTTGGAAACTAGAAGCCTCTGGGATTACTGGCCATGGAACACAGGAATTCTGCCAAGACCAGCCACAGTCCCGAACGTTGCTTGACCTAAAGAAGCACCCGGCAGGAACCCTCTTAAACCAAAGAAGCTATTCTTAGAAACGCCCCTTGACTTTTCTGTCTGGGCCTCTTTCTGCTGTAGGCGCTGTGACCTTCGTACAGACTGGGAAACAAATCTATCTCTGACTATCTGTTCTCTTCGGTCCTCATTATCAACCCCAGGTGGAGAGATATCACAGCTAACTTCCAAAACATTATCTTCTAGCTGTTGGGTTTCGTTTTCATTCCCACTGACCTCTGCATCAACAACAGATTCCACACTGTCAGAGTCAGGGAGAGCTTGCTCAGTTGGAAAAACTATCAGAGAATCCTGTTCACACAGATCAGGATCAGGCTGAACCCCAACAGTCAGCATGGCCCCATCTTCTCCTCGAAGAGGCCCGATCGCCTCCTTGTTTTTCCTGTTTCTACTGACATAAGAAAAGAAGCCCTTTTTATTGTTTTTAATGTCCCTGGCAAGCCTGAGTTTGTTTTGTGCTTTAGCCTAGCGGACCTTTTCCCTACAGGTGTTGTCTATTTGTTTGAATTCTTCTTTGGCGATTTCACCCTTTTTCCACTTCTTGTGCATGTCTCTTTTGTGTTTTAGCACAGTTAGAAGTTCTTTGGACATCCATTCTGGCTTCTTTTCACTTGTTCTATTTTTTCTCTTTGTTGGCACAGTTTGCAATTGCGCCTTGAGTATTTCACTCGTGAGAAATTCCCATCCATCCATAACTCCCTTGTCTTTTAGTATCTGTGTCCACGGAATGCTGCTCAGTGTTTCCTTCATTTTTTGGAATTTCCATCATTTTTCAGTTGCACTTCTGCTCTGTGGCTGTTGATACTCACCCAGATCTTCTCTTGCCTTTAATGTACTTACCAAAGAGATACTTAAACACTATAATCAAAGCTGAACGTCAGGCTTATGCGCACTTCACAACCATCTGCTAGCACCGCACCCTCTTAACACCCATCCAGACAGGAATCTGCAGAGAGAAAGGCACGACCCCGCCACTCTAATCTTTTCCCTCCAATGTCCAGGATGCCTCATTTTGCTCAAATGTGAAAACTGTCAGTCATTTCTAGAGGGCTTGTGATGTTGTTGTGGCCAGTGACAGCCTCTTCAGCCTCGTAGCTTCACAGGGTCAAGAACCACTTTACAATGTGTCCCTCCATTCAGAGGCGGCCCTAGGTAATTTTCAACAGTAAGCAAACAGTATTTTGGTGCCCCGCCCCCCTACCAAACACTGATATATATTTTCTGTTCGTCGTGGGAGTTCTGTGTGCCATATTTGGTTCAATTCCATCATTGGTGGAGTTCAGAATGCTCTTTGATTGTAGGTGAACTATACATCCCAATAACTGCAACTCGCATATGTCAAGGTCTATTTTCCCCCAAGAGCACCTCAAGAGCGCCCCAAAATCAACTCTACTGCAGAGGCTTACTTTGCATAAGGGGTTGAGCCGCCCCTGCCTCCATTTGAGTCCCATTTAATGATGCCTTCTCTTGGGATCTTGCTTGAGAGAGACCATCACTGCACGGCAGTGCCATTCAACCCTGTCAACGCAGACTGGAATTGTCTGACTTGGCCACAGTGGTTGTAGTGAAATTGCTACTCTATGTTAAAGTTTTGGTGTATAGCTCTATGTTTACATATTGCAGATAGGGAAGAATAAGTACAGACAGGGTAGCAACAGCAGAGATAGGATTCATTTGCATATGTGAAGCCGATTGGTCATATGCAGATTAGTTTAGGTCCAGGATTTGAAAAGGCTGCTAGGCCAAAATGACAGTTGGAGTGAGAGAGCTGAACATTCCAAAGGGGCGGAGCCAAGGTTCTGAAAGAGGCAGTTAGAGTGAGGGAGTTTGAAAATGACAGTTAGGAATCTGTGTGTGAAGAGGAGAGTTGGTTTTTGAGTGCCTGAGAGAAATAAGCAGTTATGAAGATGTGTTAAAGACTTCTGATATAGAGGAGCAGTTAGTTAAATAGAGCTCGAGTTTTAAGGAACATAAAGAAGGCTAGTGTTGCCTTAGTTCAGAATATAATTCAGCCAAGAGTGTGTAAAGCAAGTAACATGTTTGTGAATGTGAAACATTGATAGTTTATTCAGAAAAGTTAACCAAGTAAATTATACTGACTGTAAGCCTCAAGATTGCAACAAAACACAAATGTAACCACAAGCGTTGGAGCCAGAAGTTATAAATAAACTGTATTACTTTGTTATACACAAGAGTGTTTCATTGCCTGCAATATAAAGTACAAAGGTTTAACAGCACACAGAAAGTCCCTGCCAATATAAAAGAAGAAACTTGACGAGGTCATCAGGGTTCTTGGGGAGGCGAGGCCCTCACAACCTCTGAGGATGCTTGCCATAGATGCAGGCGAAACGTCAGGAGGGAATGCCTCTAGACCATGGCCATATAGCCCGAAAAAACGACAACAACCCACACATAGGAAGTAGTTGTGTTGTGGTTAAGCCAAAGGTTGTGGTTAAGCGCAGAGTCTGCAAGTACTAGAAGATACTTTCCATCAAAGGTCAAGGGAGAGGGGCTAGAAAGAGACCAACCATGAAAGCCTTTTTTTGAGCTCCAAATACTGCCCTCTTTGCTTTGTCTTCTTCTGAGACACTTCATGCATTGCATTATTAGAAAGTGGATGCCCTGCTGAAGGAAAAGGCTACGGCTGAAAAAAGCATGGAAGACCGTGTGACGGAGGTCACCGAGGAGAACCAGCAACTGAAGGAGATCCTCACAGAGTTGGAGAAACACGAGAAAGAACTCCACAAAGAGCTTGGCCATTTGAGAGGAGAAAGAAGCCAAATGGAGGAGAGGATGGACACTTACGAGGTGAGGTTCTGGGCTCACTGTGGCCAAGGCACTTCTGGTGGTCCTAAGGCAATGTTTCTCAACCTAGGGGTCGGGACCCCTGGGGGGGTTGCAAGGGGGTGCTAGAGGAGTCGCCAAAGACCATCAGAAAACACAGTATTTTTTTTTTAGTCATGGGGGTTCTGTGTGGGAATTCAGAATGACCTTTGATTGTAGGTGAACTATATATCCCAGCAACTACAACACCCAAATGTCAAGGTCTATTTTCCACCAAACTCCACCACATTTGGGTACGTTGAGTATTCATGCCAAGTTTGGTCCAGATCCATCATTGTTTGAGTTGACAGTGCTCTCTGGATGTAGGTGAACTACAACTCCCAAACTCAAGGTCAATGCCCACCAGACCATTCCAGTATTTTCTGTTGCTCAAGGGAGTTCTGTGTGTCAAGTTTGGTTCAATTCCATTGTTGGTAGAGTTCAGAATGCTCTTTGATTGTAGGTGAACTATACATTCCAGCAACTACAACTCCCAAATGACAAAATCAATCCCCTCTCCAACTCCATCATTATTTTAATTTGGGTGTATTGGGTATTTGTGTCAGAATTGATCCAGTGAATGAAAATACTTCTTGCATATTAGATATTTACATTACGATTCATAAGAGTTGCAAAATTTCAGTTATGAAGTAGCAACGAACATAACATTATGGTTGGGGGTCACCTCCACATAAGGAACTGTATTAAGGGGTTGCGGCATTAGGAAGGTTGGGAAACACTGGCCTAAGGTTTGAAAAAGTCAGTATTGATTATGACCCCAACAGTTATGGGCAGTGACAGCCACCAAAACTAAAGCCAACAATTTGTGAATGTTTGTAAAGGAGTCACCACTTTGTAAGGGTTTATTAAATTGATAGCGTAGCTTTATAGCCTATAATATTGATTTGGTCTTTCTTCTGTGTAGCATGACTTAACTTGGGAAGGAATTGTATCAGAGACAAGGCCTCAAGAAAAACAGTCACAAGTTTATTGAAATGTAGAAGGAGCTTGATGGTTTCAATGTAACTTAACTCTTAGAGGCACAAATCTTCAAAGATTACATTTATAACGTTTCTTGAACAATTCTGGAAAGGACTTTATGCTACACGTGTTGACAGGTGTCGTTTTTTAATTATATTATATTAATTTACTAGCCGACCCCTGCCACGCATTGCTGTGACCCAGTGTGTGTACATGTGCTTTGTGTGTGTAAATGTGTGTGTATATATTTGTGTATATATGTGTGTGTGTGTTTTTGTGCATGCATTGTAATGTATTTTTATTTTTTTGGCTTTTTCGTACCATTTCTGTGTACAAACCCACACAATCTCTTTGCTCATCTGGAGAGCGCTCCCACCTGCATCACAAGCACGATTGGTGGGGACAAGAGAGAGGGCCTTTTCAGTGGTGGCGCCTCAACTCTGGAACTCACTCCCTAAGGACATCAGGCAGGCCCCAACCCTGGCAGTCTTTAGGAGGAGCTTGAAGATGTGGTTGTTCCAGTGTGCCTTCCCAGAATAAGGATCCCATAGTACTTTGTTATTATTATTATTATTATTAATATTATTATTATTATTATTAATAATAATAATAATAATAATAATAATAATTTGGGAGGGGCAAAATGGCGGGAGTGCCATAGACGCTGGTGCTGCCACCGAGGTTCCTCCTGACCTAATTAACTCTCTCCTGGCAGAAAAAGCATCAGGAATTGGAAGCGGCCTTGGTGCAGTCGGAGGAGAAGGTCCAGGTTCTTGAATCAGCGAAGACCTCTTTGGAAGCCCAGCTCGCAGAAGAGCAGGTAAGGAAGAGACTTAGCTCTCGTTTCCAAATCTGCCTTCTCCACGCCATGGCCCTCGGTGGGCACAACTCTGCTCCTCTTGCAGGAGGTGCCAGGCCAGCCTTCCTTGTTGCTCTCTGTCCTTTTGAGTATTTATTTATTTATCAGGAGCAAACCAAACAGTTGTATTGCATTTTTAACAAACAAACAAACACAAAATTTGCAAGCTTGGTAGTGGATTAAATGTCCTTTGAGCAGTCTCTGGCCCCTTGGAGTGCCTCTGGTGTTGCCGCAAGGAGGTCCTCCCTTGTGCATCATGTGGCCGGGCTCAGGGTGCATTGCAGCAGGTGCTCAGTGGTTGGCTTTTCTCCACACTCGCATGTCGTGGATTATTCCACTTTGTGGCCCCATTTCTTAAGATTCGCTCTGCATCTCGTGGTGCCACAGCACAGTCCGTTCAGTGCCTTCCAAGTCGCCCCATCTTCCATGTGCCCAGGGGGGAGTCTCTCATTTGGTATCAGTCATTGGTTGAGGTTCTGGGTTTGAGCCTGCCATTTTTGGACTCTCGCTTGCTGAGGTGTTCCAGCGAGTATCTCTGTAGATCTTAGAAAGCTATTTCTTGATTTAATTCGTTGACGTGCTGGCTGATATTCCAAACAGGGGGTGAGCTGGAGATGTCTCTGCCTTGGTCCTTTCACTATTGGCTGCTACTTCCCGGCGGATGTCAGGTGGTGCAATACCGGCTAAGCAGTGTAATTTCTCCAGTGGTGTAGGGCGCAGACACCCCGTGATAATGCGGCATGTCTCATTAAGGGCCACATCCACTGTTTGAGCGTGGTGAGATGTGTTCCACACTGGGCATGCATACTCAGCAGCAGAGTAGCATAGCGCAAGGGCAGATGTCTTCACTGTGTCTGGTTGTGATCCCCAGGTTGTGCCAGTCAGCTTCCGTATGATATTGTTTCTAGCGCCCACTTTTTGCTTGATGTTCAGGCAGTGCTTCTTGTAGGTCAGAGCACGGTCCAGAGTGACTCCCAGGTATTTGGGTGCGCTGCAATGCTCCAGTGGGATTCCTTCCCAGGTAATAATCCTCAGAGCTCGGGATGCTTCTCTGTTCTTGAGATGAAAGGCACATGTCTGTGTTTTCGATGGATTAGGGATCAGTTGGTTTCCCCTGTAATAGGCAGTAAGAGCACCTGGAGCTTCGGAGAGCTTCTGTTCAACCATCTCAAAGCTCCCTGCTTGAGCGGTAATGGCACGATCATCAGCATAGATGAAGTCTAACTGTCTGTCTCCCTGGAACTCTTGTGTCACCCATCTGATTCTGTTTTCGAGCGCCGTGTGACGAGGCGTACAACACTGAGACCTGCTGGGCATTTCATGTTGCGGCTTTCTTTGATTGGGGCTGTGGGCTCTCCACGGGATCCTACCATCATGTACAGAGCACGCTTCCTGCCCAGCATGCATTTCCCTCTGGTCACTTGTTTTTCAAGCGTGTGTAAACAAACAGTAAAGATCAATGGCCTGTGAAAGTTGGATCCCTGGTTCTGCAGAAGTGTCTTGCGGCACGAGATGTTTTCCCTGACAGCAAAGGCAAGAAAGAACAGGGTTGTTGTAGGTTTTTTCGGGATATATGGCCATGTTCTAGAGCCCTGATGGCGAACCTATGACATGCGTATCAGCACTGACACGCATAGCCATTTTCTATGACATGCAGCCATATGTGGCTGTGTACAGAGAAGTATAGGGCAGGCATCCTCAGAGGTTTGTTGGAAACTAAGCAAGTGGGGTTTATATCCCTGTGGAATAACGTCCAGGGTGGAAGAAAGAACTCTTGTCTGTTGGAGGCAAGTGTGAATGTTGCAATTGGCCATTTTGATTAGCCTTGAATGGCCTGGCAGCTTCAAAGTCTAGCTCCTTCCTGCTCAGGGGAATCCTTTGTTGCGATGGGCCTGACTGATTCTTGTCTGGAATTCCCCTGTTTTTTAGGGTTTATATCCCTGTGGAATAACGTCCAGGGTGGGAGAAAGAACTCTTGTCTGTTGGAGGCAAGTTGCAATTGGCCAGCTTGATTAGCATTAAATGGCCTTGCAGCTTCAAAGTCTGGCTCCTTCCTGCTCGGGGAATCCTTTGTTGGGAGGTGTTAGATGGGCCTGACTGATTCTTGTCTGGAATTCTCCTGTTGGAATAACGTCCAGGGTGGGAGAAAGAACTCTTGCCTGTTGGAAGCAAGTGTGAATGTTGCCATTGGCCAGCTTGATTAGCATTGAATGGCCTTGCAGCTTCAAAGTCTGGCTTCTTCCTGTTCAGGGGAATCCTTTGAGGGTTGTTGGAAACTAGGCAAGTGGGGTTTATATCCCTGTGGAATAACGTCCAGGGTGGGAGAAATGACTCTTTCTCTGTTGGAGGCAAGTGTGAATGTTGCAATTGGCCAGCTTGATTAGCATTGAATGGCCTTGCAGCTTCAAAGTCTGGCTTCTTCCTGTTCAGGGGAATCCTTTGTTGGGAGGTGTTAGATGGGCCTGACTGATTCTTGTCTGGAATTCTCCTGTTGGAATAACGTCCAGGGTGGGAGAAAGAACTCTTGCCTGTTGGAAGCAAGTGTGAATGTTGCCATTGGCCAGCTTGATTAGCATTGAATGGCCTTGCAGCTTCAAAGTCTGGCTCCTTCCTGCTCAGGGGAATCCTTTGTTGGGAGGTGTTAGATGGGCCTGACTGATTCTTGTCTGGAATTCTCCAGGGTGGGAGAAAGAACTCTTGTCTGCTTGAGGCAAGTGTGAATGTTGCAATTGGCCACTGTGATTAGCATTTAATGGCCTTGGAGCTTCAAAGACTAGTTGATTGCTGCCGGAGGGATCCTTTGTTGGGAGGTGTTAGCTGCTTGACTCTGTCTGGAATTACCTGTTTTAGGACAATAATTGTGGAATAGTCTAGGGTGGGAGAAAGAACACTTGTCTGTTGGAGGCAAGTGTGAGTGTTGCAATTGGCCAGCTTGATTAGCATTGAATGGCCTTGCAGCTTCAAAGTCTGGCTCCTTCCTGCTCAGAGGTTGTGAGGTCTGTTAGAACTAGGAAAATTGGGTTTGCACAGTGTCCCACCCTGGTCATTCCACAGATATATAACTCTTCCTGCGACGTTTCCCTGCGACGCTTGGCTCTTTTTGTTTGGGAGGATGTTTGGTGGGAGATCCAAAACAATCCCAGGGGTTGTTCTCTTCTTTCCACGCCTGCAGAAGAGCGTCCGGCAGCTGAGCCAGGAGCAGCAACAGTTAATGGGCCGGTTGAAAGACGAAGCGAACCAGAAGGATCAGTTAAAGAGGATGAAGAGCGAACTGGAGAACGAGCGGTGGCAACTGGACAAGACCATTGAGAAGCTGCACAAGGAGGTAAGAGGGGAAGGAGATTGAATGTCAGGTGGGTGCGGGAAGGACGCAAAGAAAAGGCCGAGCTGGACAAAAGAGAGCCAAAGAGAGGCAGAGAAAGAAAGGAACGATCACTTGGCCGGGATAATTTGTGAGCCAGGGAAACTCAATGGGCGCTTTGAGAGTTGGGACAGGAATGTCTCCGTCTCTGGGGAAAGCAGCAGGAAGGACCTCTTCTCCCCAAACGCCTTGCCTTCCTTCTTCACCTGAAAGCACTTCCAACCAGAGAAGCCCTGCGAGTCATCTCCAGCAAGACTTAAGGCCAAAATGGGTGTTGTTTATTTATTTACTACTAGCCGTCCCCTGCCACACATTGCTGTGGCCCACTCTGGTGGTTCTGTGTGGGAGGTTTGGCCCCGTTCTATTGTTGGTGGGGTTCGGAATGCTCTGTGATCAATCTCAGCAAAGACAACTCCCACCAAACCCTTCCAGTTGGTCATTCTGGCCACTAGGGGAGCTGTCCCTTCACCGACCATTTGTGACACTGATGGAGTACTTCCTCATTCTTTGCATGCTTGCTGGAGATTTTTTTTTTTTGTATAATTTTTATTGGGTGGATTTTCTTCTTACAACAATAAAAACGAGGTGAGGGGTGGTAAGGGTATAAGAGGGAAGAGAAAGGGAAGAAAAAAAGGTGTGTGTGTAAAGATGGGGGTGTGGGGGTGAGTGGGGGAAGGGGGGGTATCTTCTTCCGTTTCTCTTCATAGTGGAGTCTTCTGTTTATGTTTCTTGTTTCTTAAACTTGAGCACTTCTTCAGATTTTTCTCCGGTGGTGGGTCTGTCCGTATTCTATATGTGTTCTATATGAGTATGTATATATATATATCCAAACCCAAGCACACACACATATATATGGCTCACAAGAGCCATGACAGGTGCTGACGACTGCTGGACTGACCACAGGCTAATTCGATCCTCGATGGCTATCAAGATCGCTCCCAAGCGCAGACTCCAAGGAAGGAAGACAAGGCGCAAAATGAACACCCAAGCCCTTCAGGAGCCCTCCAGACGAGCCCATCTCCAAACAGCACTCAAGGACCATCTACCCACAGTACACCCCGAAAATGTTGAGGAACATTGGAACAAACTGAAGACCTCCATCATCCAAGCCTGCGAAGAAACTATTGGATACCAAGCCAAGAAACATCAAGACTGGTTTGATGAAAATGACATCAAGATCCAACAGCTAATTGACAAGAAAAGGAAAGCCTTCCAAGCATGGCAGAGAGACATCAACTGTGCTGCTAAGAAAAAGATCTATGCCAGTGCAAAAGCTGAGGTCCAAAGAAGGACAAGAGAGCTCAAGAACATCTGGTGGACAAAGAAGGCCGAAGAAATCCAACACCTGGCAGATACCCATAATGCTCAGGGATTTTTCAAAGCCACAAAGGTCATCTACGGACCAAGAAACCATGGCATACAGCCTCTACGCTCATCAGATGGAACCAAACTCCTGAAGGACCAAAACTCAATTGCACTACATTGGAAAGAACACTACCAAAGCCTCCTGAACCGCAGCTCCAATGTGGCCGAAGAGGTCCTCTCACAAATCCCGCAACAACAAACCAGGGATGAGCTTGCAGCACTGCCCAGTTTGGAAGAAGTCAGCAATGCCATCAGCCAACAGAAGAATAACAAAGCCAGTGGACCAGACGGGATCCCTGCTGAAATCTTTAAAGAGGGAGGACCTGAGCTGACACACCAACTCCACCAGCTCATAGAAAAAGTGTGGGTGACCGAGAAAATCCCAGCAGACTTCAAGGATGCCACCATCATCACCCTCTTCAAAAAAGGGGAAAGAACAGACTGCGGAAACTATCGAGGTATCTCCCTTCTAACCTCTGCTGGGAAAATCCTCGCAAGAATCCTTGCAAACCGCCTTCTGCCCCTCTCAGAAGACACCCTCCCAGAATCCCAGAACGGCTTCCGCCCCTCCAGAGGAACTGTGGACATGATCTTCACTGCACGACAGCTCCAAGAAAAATGCAGGGAACAAAACCAACCTCTGTACATGGCATTCATCGACCTTGCAAAGGCATTCGACACAGTGAATCGCAGCGCTCTCTGGACCATCCTCCACAAAATCGGGTGCCCAAACAAATTTGTGAACATCCTGCGGCTCCTCCATGATGACATGATGGCAACAGTCTTGGACAGCAGTGGCTCCCAAAGTGACCCATTTAAGGTGGAATCGGTGTCAAACAGGGATGTGTTATTGCCCCAACTCTATTCTCCATCTTCATCGCTATGATACTTCACCTTGTTGATGGGAAGCTTCCCACCGGAGTGGAAATAATCTATCGGACAGATGGCAAGCTATTCAACCTCAGCAGACTGAAAGCCAAAACCAAGGTTACAACAACATCTGTTATAGAACTCCAGTATGCTGATGACAATGTCGTCTGTGCGCATTCAGAAGAAGATCTACAAGCCACTCTAAACACCTTCGCAGAAGCATACGAGAAGCTCGGCCTGTCACTGAACATTGAGAAAACCAAGGTGCTGTTCCAGCAGTCGCCAGCCAATCCCTCTCCAATGCCAGTGATACAGCTTAATGGTGTAACATTAGAAAATGTTGATCATTTCCGCTACCTTGGCAGCCACCTCTCCACCAAAGTCAACATCGACGCCGAAATACAACACCGCCTGAGCTCTGCAAGTGCAGCATTTTCCAGAATGAAGCAGAGAGTGTTTGAGGACCAGGACATCCGTAGGGATACCAAGGTGCTTGTTTATAAAGCTATTGTCCTCCCAACCCTGCTATATGCCTGTGAGAACGTGGACTGTCTACAGACATCACATGCAGCTCCTGGAACGATTCCATCAGCGCTGCCTCCGGAAAATCCTGCAAATCTCTGGGAAGACAAGCGGACAAACGTCAGTGTGCTGGAAGAAGCAAAGACCACCAGCATTGAAGCGATGGTCCTCCAACATCAACTCCGCTGGGCCGGCCACGTTGTCCGGATGCCTGACCACCGTCTCCCAAAGCAGTTGCTCTACTCCGAACTTAAGAACGGAAAACGGAACGTTGGTGGACAGGAAAAGAGATTTAAAGATGGGCTCAAAGCCAACCTTAAAAACTCTGGCATAGACACTGAGAACTGGGAAGCCCTGGCCCTTGAGCGCTCCAGCTGGAGGACAGCTGTGACCAGCAGTGCTGCAGAATTTGAGGAGGCACGAGTGGAGGGTGAAAGGGAGAAACGTGCCAGGAGGAAGGCGCGTCAAGCCAACCCCAACCGGGACCACCTTCCACCTGGAAACCAATGCCTTCACTGTGGGAGAAGATGCGGGTCAAGAATAGGGCTCCACAGCCACCTACAAACCCACAAAAATAGTCATCAAGAAAGACCATCTTACTCGTCCAACGAGGGATCGTAAGTAAGTAAGTGTGTGTGTGTGTGTGTATATATATACACATACACCCATTCCTCTTCTTAAATCAATAGTTTCACTTTGTTTTCCTTTAGCCATGTCTTCAATGGTGTCCAATCCGTCATCTTCATTGATTATTTTGTATTTTTGATAGTAGGTATGTTAGTTTGTCCATATCCATTGTATCGAGGATTTTCTTTATCCAATCCTCTTTTTGAGGTCATATTTTTAGTTTCCATCATTTTGCATAATTCAGTCTTGCTGCCGTGGTCATGTATACAAACCATTTGTCCTCATTTGTACTCCGCTGAGTGTCTGTGAGTCCTTGCTGGATATTTTTATGGTGTCGTAAATTAGTTAAATTTGCCTCCCCGCATATGTGGTACCTAAATTTCCAAAATTTCCTACACAAAATTGGTCGGAAGCTCACTCTGACCCGGGTTGGCTTCGGACTCATGACCTTTCGGTCAGTAGTGATCGTAATGCAGCTGACTCCCAGCCAGATGCGCCATAATCCCGGTATTGTTGCTCTTAATCCGGTTGCGCCCCCCCCCACACACACAACCAAAGGGTCACCTCGAAGCCAGCATTAAAAATAGCAGGGCAGATTAAAGATGTGTCCCTCCTGCAGCGTATTGCCTCCAATCGGAGCTCTTAAGGGAGCTTTTCCCTGCTTTGGGCGACAACCTCCATCATCCCCAGCCCCACTCTCTGCTATGCTCAAAATCCAGGGGCTGAAGGGAAATTTCGATGTGGGAGCCAGTGCCCTCGTTGTGCCACCCTCCGCCCACTCCCGTGAGCAGGGGCGGCTTGTCCATTATGCAAAGTAAGCGGTCGCAGAACAATTTTTTTTTTGCCAGGGGCGCAATCAAAGAGCATTCTGAACTCCACCAATGATGGAATTGAACCAAATATGGCACACAGAACTCCCACGACGAACGGAAAATATATATCAATGATTGGTGGGGGGGGGGGGGGGGTGCGCCAAAATACTGTTTGCTTACCATTGAAAATTACCTAGGGCCGCCTCCGCCCGCGAGCATCACAAGCAGGCAGGCACCTTGGCAGCTTTTGCTTTGGGCACCGGTCTCTCCCCAGCTTCCTTGGCAAGAAGACCCGGTGTGCTCCACCTCATTCACGAACCTGTTTTCCTTTTTGCTAGATGGCAGAAATTATCGAGGTTTCGCGGGCGTCAAGTCTGGAGCTCCAGAACCAGCTCGATGACTACAAAGAGAAAAATCGACGGGAACTGGCAGAGACGCAGAGGCAGCTGAAAGACAAGAACCTGGAGCTGGAAAAGGCACATCTGGCCACTCTCAAACTGCAAGAGGAGGTATAATGGCTCCCAGGCCAGTGCCCTTGTTGGTATTTCTCCTTGAAAGAATCATCCGGTAGTGCAGTGTTTCTCAACCTGGTGGTCGGGAGGGGGTGTCAGAGGGGTCGCCAAAGACCATCAGAAAACGCAATATTTTCTGTTGGGCATCAGGGTTCTGTGTAGGAAGTTTGACCCAATTCCATCGTTTGTGGGGTTCAGAATGCTTTTTGATTGCAGGTGAACTATAAATCCCAGCAACAACAACTCCCAAATGTCAAGGTCTATTTCCCCCAAACTCCACCAGTGTCCACATTTGGGCATATGGAGTATGTGTACCAAGTTTGGTTCAGATCCATCATTGTTTGTGTCCACCGTGCTCTCTGGATGTAGGTGAACTACAACTCCAAAACCAAAGGACACTGCCCACCAAATCCTTCCAGTATTTTCTGTTGGTCATGGGGTTCCTGGGTGCCAAGTTTGGTTCAATTCCATCATTGGTGGAGTTCAGAATTCTCTTTGATTATAGGTGAACTATAAATCCCAGCAACTACAACTCCAAAATGACAAAATCAATCCAACCCCTGACCCCACCAGTATTCAAATTTGGACGTATTGGGTATTTGTGCCAAATTTGGTCCGGTGAATGAAAATACATTCTGAATATCAGATATTTACATTACATTTTAAACAGAGGCTGGATGGCCATCTGTCAGGGGTGCTTTGAATGCAATATTAATTCCAAGGAAGCCCCTTGAGTGCTGGACGAGTGCCTGGCCGCTGTGGCTATCTGGATGAGGAGGAACAAGCTGAAGATCAATCCCGACAAGACAGAGGTCCTCCTGGTCGATCGTAAACTGGACGAGTGCCTGGCCGCTGTGGCTGTCTGGATGAGGAGGAACAAGCTGAAGATCAATCCCGACAAGACAGAGGTCCTCCTGGTCGATCGTAAACTGGACGAGTGCCTGGCCGCTGTGGCTGTCTGGATGAGGAGGAACAAGCTGAAGATCAATCCCGACAAGACAGAGGTCCTCCTGGTCGATCGTAAACTGGACGAGTGCCTGGCCGCTGTGTCTATCTGGATGAGGAGGAACAAGCTGAAGATCAATCCCGACAAGACAGAGGTCCTCCTGGTCGATCGTAAACTGGACGAGTGCCTGGCCGCTGTGGCTGTCTGGATGAGGAGGAACAAGCTGAAGATCAATCCCGACAAGACAGAGGTCCTCCTGGTCGATCGTAAACTGGACGAGTGCCTGGCCGCTGTGTCTATCTGGATGAGGAGGAACAAGCTGAAGATCAATCCCGACAAGACAGAGGTCCTCCTGGTCGATCGTAAACTGGACGAGTGCCTGGCCGCTGTGGCTGTCTGGATGAGGAGGAACAAGCTGAAGATCAATCCCGACAAGACAGAGGTCCTCCTGGTCGATCGCAAACCGGATCGGGGTATAGGGTGGCAACCTGTGCTGGACGGGGTTACACTCCCCCTGAAGCCACAGGTCCGCAGTCTGGGAGTCCTCCTGGACTCATCACTTACGTTTGAGGCTCAGGCATCGGCGGTGGCCGGGAGGGCCTTTGCACAATTAAGACTCATGCGCCAACTGCGACCGTACCTCGTGAAGGCAGATCTGGCCAGGGTGGTCCACGCCTTAGTCACCTCTAGACTGGATTACTGCAATGCACTCTACGTGGGGCTGCCCTTGAAAACGGCCCGGAAATTTCAGATGATCCAACGGGCAGCAGCCAGGTTGTTAACTGGGGCTCCTTACAGGGAGCAGTCAACCCTCCTGTTCAAGGAGCTCCACTGGTTGCCATTCATCTACCGGACCCAATTCAAGGTGCAGGTTCTCACCTACAAAGACCTGAACGGTTTGGGACCTGCCTACCTGCGTGACCGCATCTCTGTATACGAACCCACGCAATCTCTTCGTTCATCCAGAGAAGCCCTACTCTCAATCCCACCAGCCTCGCAGGCGCGATTGGTGGGGACGAGAGAGAGAGCCTTTTCGGTGGTGGCCCCTCGACTCTGGAACTCACTCCCTAAAGACATCAGACAGGCCCAACTTTGGCAGTCTTCAGGAGGAGCTTGAAGACGTGGCTGTTCCAGTGTGCCTTCCCGGAATAATGACCCCATAGCACTTTGTCCTCCAAAGCACTTTACATTTCTTTAGGTCTGCTCGTATGTCCTTCCACAAACACCGGTATCACCTTTCGTCCATGTCCCAGCAATATTTGCAATTTTAACTCTACATTTGGCCTTCCCACTGTTTTTAATTGTGTGTTGTCTTATTGATAATGTGGTATATTTTATTGTCTATGTTTTTTAATTGCTTGTATTGTTGTTATTATTGCTTGTATTGTTGTATTGTGGGCTCGGCTTCATGTAAGCCGCACCAAGTCCCTTGGGGAGATGGTAGCGGGGTATAAATAAAGTATTATTATTATTATTATTATTATTATTATTATTATTATTATATGAAGCCGTCAAAAGGAAGAGGGGGTATTGTTGTTGAACCAGCTGTATATTTAAATTTCTCTTTATTTTAATTGTTGAAAAAATATCCCACTGATTATAGCATTATCAGGGGAGATTAGACCAGAGAAGGGGGTGAGACACTTAGTAATTTAAAAAAGATAGGAGCTGGGAAACACTAGAACTGTGAGACTTAAAATGTTTCTTCAAAAGAATTCCGCTGCCACCATTTCAATAATTAATCAGGCTGAGGTAATACTGAGAGTTTGTTCTGTAACACACACTGTGCCACTATAGTTTCTTAGAGGCTGTTGTGAAGCTGTTTTTACTAATACCTTGACCACAAAGGTATTCACACTGAGGCTGGTATAAGTTCATAAAATAACAAGAATGTTTATTGAACAGGCTTGAAATATTCGATAGGGTTACAAGCTGGGTAGATGCAGGGAATGCCGTGGATGGAGCGTGTATGGATTTCAGGAAGGCCTTCTTTGACAAGGTCCCCCATGACCTTCTGGCAAGGAAACTAGTCCAAGGTGGGCGAGGCAAAACTACGGTGGGGTGGATCTGTAATTGGTTAAATGGATGAACCCAGAGGGTGCTCACCAGTGCGTCCCCTTCATCTTGGAAAGAAGTGACGAGTGGAGTGCCACAGGGTTCCGTCCTGGGCCCGGTCCTGTTCAACACCTTTATTAATGACTTGGATGAAGGGTTAGAAGGCAAGATCATCAAGTTTGCAGATGACACCAAATTGGGAGGGAGAGCCAAGACTCCAGAGGACAGGAGCAGAATTCAAAACGATGTTGACAGATTAGAGAGATGATTGGCCAAAACTAACAAAATGAAGTTCAACAGTGACAAATGCAAGATACTCCACTTTGGCAGGAAAAACAAAATGCAAAGATACAGAATGGGGGACAATGCCTGGCTCGAGAGCAGTACGTGTGAAAAAGATCTTGGAGTCCTCGTGGACAACAAGTTAAACATGAGCCAACAGTGTGATGTGGCGGCAAATAAAGCCAATGGGATTTTGGCCTGCATCAAGAGGAGCCTAGTGTCTAGATCAGTGATGGGCAACCTTTTGAGCTTGATGTGTCAAAATTTGCCAAAAACCTGAGCATAACTTGGGTGGGGTGTCAACTTCAAGAAAAAAACCCATAATTTTGCAATATTTATAGTTTAAGTAAGAAAAATGTATATTCCATGCTGAGTTATGGAATGAACAATGCTCAAATGTGCAGATGTTAAATTTGTAGAGCCTTTTACAAATTTAAGGATGGAATTAGATTGGCTCTTATAAGGTGTACTTCTCTGTATGTGGCCGCGTGTCATCAAAAATAGCCATGTGTGTCAGTGCTGACACACGTGTCATAGGTTCACCATCATGGGCATAGATCTAGGGAAGTCATGCTCCCCATGCTCTATTCTGCCTTGGTTACACCACTTTACCTGGAATATTGTGTCCAATTCTGGGCACCACAATTCAAGAGAGATATTGACAAGCTGGAATGTGTCCAGAGGAGGGCGACTAAAATGATCAAGGGTCTGGAGAACAAGCCCTATGAGGAGCGGCTTAAGGAGCTGGGCATGTTTAGCCTGAAGAAGAGAAGGCTGAGAGGGGATATGATAGCCATGTATAAATATGTGAGAGGAAGCCACAGGGAGGAGGAGGGAACAGATCAAGGGTCAGGAGAACAAGCCCCATGAGGAGCGGCTTAAGGAGCTGGGCATGTTTAGCCTGAAGAAGAGAAGGCTGAGAGGGGATATGATGAGAGCCATGTGTGTGGCAGCAAAAAAGCCAATGGGATTTTGGCCTGCATCAATAGGAGCATAGTGTCTAGATCTAGGGAAGTCATGCTCCCCATGCTCTATTCTGCCTTGGTTAGACCACACCTGGAATATTGTGTCCAATTCTGGGCACCACAATTGAAGAGAGATATTGACAAGCTGGAATGTGTCCAGAGGAGGGTGACTAAAATGATCAAGGTTCTGGAGAACAAGCCCTATGAGGAGCGGCTTAAAGAGCTGGGCATGTTTAGCCTGAAGAAGAGAAGGCTGAGAGGAGATATGATAGCCATGTATAAATATGTGAGAGGAAGCCACAGGGAGGAGGAGGAGGGAGCAAGCTTCCTTTCTGCTTCCTTGGAGACTAGGACGCAAGGGAACAATGGCTTCAAACGACAAGAGAGGAGATTCCATCTGAACATGAGAAAGAACTTCCTGACTGTGAGAGCCGTTCAGCAGTGGAACTCTCTGCCCCGGAGAGTGTGGTGGAGGCTCCTTCTTTGGAAGCTTTTAAGCAGAGGCTGGATGGCCATCTGTCAGGGGTGATTTGAATGCAATATTCCTGCTTCTTGGCAGAATGGGGTTGGACTGGATGGTCTCTTCCAACTCTTTGATTCTGTGATTCTATAATTCTATGAAGTATTACCTAAAGACCTGTTGAACTTCAGAAGCCACCCTTTCCTGAAGATGCTGCTGCCACCATATGTGGCTCCCATAAAGGTGTTGCTCTGCTGCCATCTTGTGGCCAGAAGAAAGTACGGTCCTTGGGACCATTAGCACAAAAAGCGGAGAGACGTAGTTCTCTTGTTATGTTTCGTCCCCGGTGGCGCAATGGGTTAAACCCTTGTGTCAGCAGGACTGTTGAATGACAGATCAGCAGTTCGAATCCGGAGAGAGTGGGTTGAGCTCCCTCTGTCGGCTCCAGCTCCCCATGCAAAGGGAACACGAGAGAAGCCTCCCTCCCACAAGGATGGTAAAAACATCAAACATCCCCTCGGCAACGTCCTTCCAGATGGCCAGTTCTCTCACACCAGAAGTGACTTGCCGTTTCTCAAGTCACTCCTGACATGGAAAGAAAAACATCCTTATAGAGGAACCCTGCTTGTTTAAATGGCCAACATGCTTCTGAAAATCATAGAATCCTAGGTTGCTGTAGGTTTTTCCGGGCTATATGGCCATGCTCTAGAGGCATTTTCTCCTGACGTTTCGCCTACATCTATGGCAAGCATCCTCAGTCTGTTGGAACTAGGAAAGAGGGTTTATATATCTGTGGAATGAGCAGGGTGGGACAAAGGACTCTTGTCTGCTGGAGCTAGGGGTGAATGTTTCAACTGACCACCTTCATTAGCATTTGATGGCCTGGCAGTGCCTCTAGCATTCTCTCCTGACGTTTGGCCTGCATCTATGGCAAGCATCCTCAGAGGGAGTGAGGTCTGTTGGGAGTAGGAAAAAGGATTTATATATCTGTGGAATGACCAGGGTGGGACAAAGGACTCTTGTCTGCTGGAGCTAGGTGTGAATGTTTCAACTGACCACCTTAATTAGCATTTGATGGCTTGGCAGTGCCTGGGGGAATCTTTTGTTGAGAGGTGATTAGATGCATAGAATCATAGAGTTGGAAGAGACCTCATGGGCCATCCAGTCCAACCCCATTCTGCCAAGAAGCAGGAATATTGCATTCAAATCACCCCTGACAGATGGTCATCCAGCCTCTGTTTCAAAGCTTCCAAAGAAGGAGCCTCCACCACACTCCGGGGCAGAGAGTTCCACTGCTGAACGGCTCTCACAGTCAGGAAGTTGTTCCTCATGTTCAGGTGGAATCTCCTCTCTTGTAGTTTGAAGCCATTGTTCCATTGCGTCCTAGTCTCCAGGGAAGCAGAAAACAAGCTTGCCCCCTCCTCCCTGTGGCTTCCTCTCACATATTTATACATGGCTATAATGTCTCCTCTCAGCCTTCTCTTCTTCAGGCTAAACATGCCCAGCTCCTTAAGCCGCTCCTCATAGGGCTTGTTCTCCAGACCCTTGATCATTTTAGTCGCCCTCCTCTGGACACATTCCAGCTTAGAGTCAATATCTCTCTTGAATTGTGGTGCCCAGAATTGGACACAATATTGTGAAAAAAGTCTGTGAAAAGGAACTGGGGCGTCAGTGCTGTTGCCACGTTAGATACACTAGAATCAGGTGAATGGGAATAATAATAATAATAATAATAATAATAATAATAATAATAATAATAATAATAATAATAGAGAAACAACTGGAAAAGCTGACACGATATGAGGATTTAAAGATCGAACTGCAAAGACTCTGGCACAAGCCAGTCAAAGGTGGTCCCAGTGGTGATCGGCACACTGCGTGCAATCTATCAGGGATGCTTTGAATGCATGTTCCTGCTTCTTGGCAGAATGGGGTTGGACTGGCTGGCCCAGGTCTCTTCCAACTCTAGGATTCTATGATTCTACTAGCTGTGTCCGACCTGTGATCCAATTCAACAGCCAGTAGAGTGACCTTGTCTGCTGTGGACTCATCTTGTTGTGTTTCAAATAATAATATGATGATAATAATAATAATAATAATAATAATAATAATAATAATAATAATAATAAATCACACAGTCCTAGACACTTGGGAAGTGTCCGACATGTAATCCAATACAACAGCCAGCAAAGTGATCTTGTCTGCTGTGGACTCATCTTGTTGAGTTTCAAATAAATAATAATAATAATAATAATAATAATAATAATAATAATACACTTGCTCAAGCGGTGTTGTATTTCGGTGCCAGTGTTGACATCTGTAGACAGTCCATGTCTCGCAGGCATATAGCAGGGTTGGGAGGACAATGGCTTTATAAACAAGCCCCTTGGTCTCCCTACGGATGTCCCAGTCCTCAAACACTCTCTGCTTCATTCAGAAAAATGCTGCACTTGCAGAGCTCAGGTGGTGTTGTATTTCAGTGTCAGTGTTGACATCTGTAGACAGTCCACATTTGCAGGCGTATAGCAGGGTTGGGAGGACAATAGCTTTATAAACAAGCCCCTTGGTCTCCCTACGGATGTTCCGGTTCTCAAACACTCTCTGCTTCATTTGGAAAAATGCTGCACTCGCAGAGCTCAGGCTGTGTTGTATTTCAGTCTCAGTGTTGACATCTGTAGACAGTCCATGTCTCGCAGGCGTATAGCAGGGTTGGGAGGGGAATGGCTTTACAAACAAGCACCTTGGTCTCCCTGCGGATGTCAATGTCACGAATGCTTTGACTTGACGTTTCCCTTTGTTTCAGGTGCGTTTTATGGAGGAGGAATTGCGGGATCACCAGAGAGCCCAAGATGAGGCCATTACCAAAACCCAGCTCCTGGAACAGACCGTCAAAGCCCTGGAATACGAACTGGAAGCCAAAAACCACCTGAAAGAAGACAGGGCCAGGCAAGCCAAGATGATGGAGGTAGGTGGAGTGTGGGCTGGGCTGGGGGGAGGTTAGGGACCCCCCTCCCCCAATGCCCACCCCAAGCCTCAGCGGCCTCTTCGGCCTTTCCCATGCCACAGGCACCTCTCCAGCTCCCCCTCCGCCCTCCAGAGAGCTTGGGATGCATGGCTTTTTTGGACACATGTCCCCAAATCTCCCCAATCATAGCATGCCCACTGCCCATGTTTAGAGGAGGATTTGGGGGGCTGTCATGCAAAACAACCAAAAAGCCCATCTTTCCCAAGCTTGGATCTATCTGCCTCCCTCTTGGGGCTCTCCTCCTTCAATCCAGTGAGGAGGATAATAATAATAATAATAATAATAATAATAATAATAATAATAATAGGTTTATAATAATGGGTTGTTGTAGGATAATAATAATAATAATAATAATAATAATAATAATGGGTTGTTGTAGGTTAGTAATAATAATAATAATAATAATAATAATAATAATAATAATAATGGGTTGTTGTAGGTTTATAATAGGTTTATAATTAATGGGTTATAATAATAATAATAATAATAATAATAATGGGTTGTTGTAGGATAATAATAATAATAATAATAATAATAATAATAATGGGTTGTTGTAGGATAATAATAATAATAATAATAATAATAATAATAATAATAATAATAATAATAATAATGGGTTGTTGTAGGTTTATAATAATGGGTTGTTGTAGGATAATAATAATAATAATAATAATAATAATAATAATAATAATGGGTTTTTGTAGGTTTATAATAATGGGTTGTTGTAGGATAATAATAATAATAATAATAATAATAATAATAATAATAATAGTTTTTTGTAGGTTTATAATAATGTAATAATAATAATAATAATAATAATAATAATGGGTTTTTGTAGGTTTATAATAATGGGTTGTTGTAGGATAATAATAATAATAATAATAATGGGTTGTTGTAGGATAATAATAATAATAATAATAATAATAATAATAATAATAATAATGGGTTGTTGTAGGATAATAATAATAATAATAATGGGTTTTTGTAGGTTTATAATAATGGGTTGTTGTAGGATAATAATAATAATAATAATAATAATAATAATAATAATAATGGGTTGTTGTAGGATAATAATAATAATAATAATAATAATAATGGGTTGTTGTAGGTTTATAATAATGGGTTGTTGTAGGATAATAATAATAATAATAATAATAATAATAATAATGGGTTTTGTAGGTTTATAATAATGGGTTGTTGTAGGATAATAATAATAATAATAATAATAATAATAATAATAATAATGGGTTTTTGTAGGTTTATAATAATGGGTTGTTGTAGGATAATAATAATAATAATAATAATAATAATAATAATAATAATAATGGGTTTTTGTAGGTTTATAATAATGGGTTGTTGTAGGATAATAATAATAATAATAATAATAATAATAATAATAATAATAATGGGTTTTTGTAGGTTTATAATAATGGGTTGTTGTAAGATAATAATAATAATAATAATAATAATAATAATAATAATAATGGGTTGTTGTAGGATAATAATAATAATAATAATAATAATAATAATAATAATAATGGGTTGTTGTAGGATAATAATAATAATAATAATAATAATAATGGGTTAGGTTTATAATAATGGGTTGTTGTAGGATAATAATAATAATAATAATAATAATAATAATAATAATAATAATAATAATAATAATGGATAATAATAATAATAATAATAATGGGTTGTTGTAGGATAATAATAATAATAATAATAATAATAATAATAATAATAATAATGGGTTTTTGTAGGTTTATAATAATGGGTTGTTGTAGGATAATAATAATAATAATAATAATAATAATAATAATAATAATAATGGGTTTTTGTAGGTTTATAATAATGGGTTGTTGTAGGATAATAATAATAATAATAATAATAATAATAATAATAATAATAATAATGGGTTTTTGTAGGTTTATAATAATGGGTTGTTGTAGGATAATAATAATAATAATAATAAGTTTTTGTAGGTTTATAATAATGGGTTGTTGTAGGATAATAATAATAATAATAATAATAATAATAATAATAATAATAATAATAATAATAATGGGTTTTTGTAGGTTTATAATAATGGGTTGTTGTAGGATAATAATAATAATAATAATAATAATAATGGGTTGTTGTAGGTTTATAATAATGGGTTGTTGTAGGATAATAATAATAATAATAATAATAATAATAATAATAATAATGGGTTTTTGTAGGTTTATAATAATGGGTTGTTGTAGGATAATAATAATAATAATAATAATAATAATAATAATAATGGGTTTTTGTAGGTTTATAATAATGGGTTGTTGTAGGATAATAATAATAATAATAATAATAATAATAATAATAATAATGGGTTTTGTAGGTTTATAATAATGGGTTGTTGTAGGATAATAATAATAATAATAATAATAATAATAATAATAATAATAATGGGTTGTTGTAGGATAATAATAATAATAATAATAATAATAATAATAATAATGGGTTTTTGTAGGTTTATAATAATAATAATAATAATAATAATGGGTTTTTGTAGGTTTATAATAATGGGTTGTTGTAGGATAATAATAATAATAATAATAATAATAATAATAATAATAATAATGGGTTTTTGTAGGTTTATAATAATGGGTTGTTGTAGGATAATAATAATAATAATAATAATAATAATAATAATAATAATGGGTTTATAATGGGTTGTTGTAGGATAATAATAATAATAATAATAATAATAATAATAATAATAATAATAATAATAATGGGTTTTTGTAGGTTTATAATAATGGGTTGTTGTAGGATAATAATAATAATAATAATAATAATAATAATAATAATAATAATGGGTTGTTGTAGGTTTATAATAATGGGTTGTTGTAGGATAATAATAATAATAATAATAATAATAATAATAATAATAATGGGTTTTTGTAGGTTTATAATAATGTGTTGTTGTAGGATAATAATAATAATAATAATAATAATAATAATAATAATAATTTTGTAGGTTTATAATAATGGGTTGTTGTAGGATAATAATAATAATAATAATAATAATAATAATAATAATAATAATGGGTTTTTGTAGGTTTATAATAATGGGTTGTTGTAGGATAATAATAATAATAATAATAATAATAATAATAATAATAATGGGTTTTGTAGGTTTATAATAATGGGTTGTTGTAGGATAATAATAATAATAATAATAATAATAATAATAATAATAATGGGTTTTTGTAGGTTTATAATAATGGGTTGTTGTAGGATAATAATAATAATAATAATAATAATAATAATAATAATAATAATGGGTTTTGTAGGTTTATAATAATGGGTTGTTGTAGGATAATAATAATAATAATAATAATAATAATAATAATAATGGGTTTTTGTAGGTTTATAATAATGGGTTGTTGTAGGATAATAATAATAATAATAATAATAATAATAATAATAATAATAATAATAATGGGTTTTTGTAGGTTTATAATAATGGGTTGTTGTAGGATAATAATAATAATAATAATAATAATAATAATAATAATAATAATAATAATAATGGGTTTTTGTAGGTTTATAATAATGGGTTGTTGTAGGATAATAATAATAATAATAATAATAATAATAATAATAATGGGTTTTTGTAGGTTTATAATAATGGGTTGTTGTAGATAATAATAATAATAATAATAATAATAATAATAATGGGTTGTTGTAGGATAATAATAATAATAATAATAATAATAATGGGTTGTTGTAGGTTTATAATAATGGGTTGTTGTAGGATAATAATAATAATAATAATAATAATAATAATAATAATAATGGGTTGTTGTAGGTTTATAATAATGGGTTGTTGTAGGATAATAATAATAATAATAATAATAATAATAATAATAATAATGGGTTTTGTAGGTTTATAATAATGTGTTGTTGTAGGATAATAATAATAATAATAATAATAATAATAATAATAATAATAATGGGTTTTTGTAGGTTTATAATAATGGGTTGTTGTAGGATAATAATAATAATAATAATAATGGGTTGTTGTAGGATAATAATAATAATAATAATAATAATAATAATAATAATAATAATGGGTTGTTGTAGGATAATAATAATAATAATAATATGTAGGTTTATAATAATGGGTTGTTGTAGGATAATAATAATAATAATAATAATAATAATAATAATAATAATAATGGGTTGTTGTAGGATAATAATAATAATAATAATAATAATAATGGGTTGTTGTAGGTTTATAATAATGGGTTGTTGTAGGATAATAATAATAATAATAATAATAATAATAATAATGGGTTTTTGTAGGTTTATAATAATGGGTTGTTGTAGGATAATAATAATAATAATAATAATAATAATAATAATGGGTTTTGTAGGTTTATAATAATGGGTTGTTGTAGGATAATAATAATAATAATAATAATAATAATAATAATAATAATAATAATGGGTTTTTGTAGGTTTATAATAATGGGTTGTTGTAGGATAATAATAATAATAATAATAATAATAATAATAATAATAATAATGGGTTGTTGTAGGATAATAATAATAATAATAATAATAATAATAATAATAATGGGTTGTTGTAGGATAATAATAATAATAATAATAATAATAATGGGTTGTTGTAGGTTTATAATAATGGGTTGTTGTAGGATAATAATAATAATAATAATAATAATAATAATAATAATGGGTTGTTGTAGGTTTATAATAATGGGTTGTTGTAGGATAATAATAATAATAATAATAATAATAATAATAATAATAATGGGTTTTGTAGGTTTATAATAATGTGTTGTTGTAGGATAATAATAATAATAATAATAATAATAATAATAATAATAATAATAATAATGGGTTTTTGTAGGTTTATAATAATGGGTTGTTGTAGGATAATAATAATAATAATAATAATAATAATAATAATAATAATGGGTTTTTGTAGGTTTATAATAATGGGTTGTTGTAGGATAATAATAATAATAATAATAATAATAATAATAATAATGGGTTGTTGTAGGTTTATAATAATGGGTTGTTGTAGGATAATAATAATAATAATAATAATAATAATAATAATGGGTTTTTGTAGGTTTATAATAATGGGTTGTTGTAGGATAATAATAATAATAATAATAATAATAATAATAATAATAATAATGGGTTTTTGTAGGTTTATAATAATGGGTTGTTGTAGGATAATAATAATAATAATAATAATAATAATAATAATAATAATGGGTTTTGTAGGTTTATAATAATGGGTTGTTGTAGGATAATAATAATAATAATAATAATAATAATAATAATAATAATGGGTTTTTGTAGGTTTATAATAATGGGTTGTTGTAGGATAATAATAATAATAATAATAATAATAATAATAATAATAATAATAATGGGTTTTTGTAGGTTTATAATAATGGGTTGTTGTAGGATAATAATAATAATAATAATAATAATAATAATAATAATAATAATGGGTTTTTGTAGGTTTATAATAATGGGTTGTTGTAGGATAATAATAATAATAATAATAATAATAATAATAATAATAATAATAATGGGTTTTTGTAGGTTTATAATAATGGGTTGTTGTAGGATAATAATAATAATAATAATAATAATAATAATAATAATAATAATAATGGGTTTTTGTAGGTTTATAATAATGGGTTGTTGTAGGATAATAATAATAATAATAATAATAATAATAATAATAATAATGGGTTTTTGTAGGTTTATAATAATGGGTTGTTGTAGGATAATAATAATTATCTATATAAATAAAAATGTGATGTTCGTTTGTGGGATTAAAACAACTCGAAAACCACTGGGGCAATTGACACCAAATTTGGACACAAGACACTTAACAACCCAATGTATGTCCTTCACTCAAAAACAAAACAAAACAAAACAAAACAATGAAAACAACAAGCAGAAAGGACTTCTAAACTGCATGTCCACAAAGGAGAAACTACATGTCCACAAAGAGGGAGGGAAGGTTGGCCACAGCAACGCGTGGCAGGTACAGCTAGTAATAATAATAATAATAATAATAATAATAATAATAATAATGGGTTGTTGCAGGTTTTTTCAGGCTATATGGCCATGGTCTAGAGGCATTCTTCAAGCTCTTACAAAAGGAGGGGAGGGATGGGGCCGGTCTTATTTCCCTTGGAAGGGCGTTCCAGAGGTGGGGGACCACCACCAAGAAGGTCCTCTCTCTTGTCCCCACCAACCGTGCTTGTGGTGCAGGTGGGACCGAGAGGAGGGCCTCCCCGGAAGATCATAGAAGGAGATGTGATCGCGGAGATAGGTGGGGCCTGAACCATTTAGGGCTTTATAGGTCATGACCTGCACCTTGAATTTGGCTCGACAACTTATCAGCAGCCAATGAAGCTGTTTAAATAGGGGTGTTGTATGCTCCCTATCTCCCTGATCTTGCGCCCCGTAGGCCCTTGAGGATGGGCCCCATGGCATGGACACTGCTTGGGTCACATTGCATGCGCAGAGAACCTCTTCATCTGAGCCCATGTTGCCTCCTCCCTTTCAGGACAAAATCTCACAACTGGAACTTGAGCTTGAAGAGGAACGAAATAATTCGGATGTCTTGTCTGAAAAGATCAGCCGGTGCCGAGAGCAGGTATTTACCTCTATTTGGTCAGGATTAATTTCGTTATGTATGTGATTGAAATGTGCTTCTATATATTACAAATAGGGATGCCGCTGTGAAGCTTGGGAGTGATCCTGTTCTCATCGCTAAGCCTGGAATCCCAGGTCTCGGCGGTGGCCGGGAGAGCTTTTGCACAATTAAAACTTGTGCACCAGTTGCACCCGTACCTTGGGAAGTCGGATCTGGCCACGGTGGTCCACGCTCTTGTTACATCCCCATTAGATTACTGCAATGCACTCTACGTGGGGTTGCCTTTGAAGACTGTTCGGAAACTCCAACTAGTCCAGCAGGAGGAAGCCAGACTGCTCACCAGAGCGTCATACAGGGAGCATTCCACCCCCCTGTTGTGTCAGCTCCACTGGCTGCCGATCCAGTTCTGAGCACAATTCAAAGTGCTTGTTTTGACCTACAAAACCCTATATGGCTCCGGTCCAGCGTATCTGTCCGAACGGATCTCCCTTTACGTCCCACCCCGGAGTCTAAGATCTTCTGGGGAGGCCCTGCTCTCAACCCCGCCTCTATCACAAGTGAAATTGGCGGGGACAAGGAGCAGAGCCTTCTCGGTGGTGGCCCCTCACCTGTGGAATTCACTCCCCGGGGAAATTAAATCAGCGACCTCACTCCTCTCCTTCAGGAAAAAATTGAAAACATGGATTTGGGACCAGGCATTCAGACAATCTGGCAGATAAAGAAAGGACTTGACTAATGGAATGGAATTATGGAACTCTGAAAGACGAACACTGAGCATGAGAATAGTTTTATTGATGTGTTATATACTGATAGTTTTTAACTGTGATAATTGTTTTAACTATGGTTTTATACGTTATGTGTATGTTGTGTAGGCATCGAATTGTGCCTTTCTGTAAGCTGCCCTGAGTCCCCCCTCGGGGGTTGAGAAGGGCGGGGTAGAAGTACACGAAATAAATACATAAATAAATAAATAAAAATTAGAAATGGTGTAGAATGTTTATACTTTGAGGCTGTGATTAAGTGAACTTGAGAAAAGTAAGATAAGGTTTGCTCTTGCTGGGAACAGAAGGGAGTTGCCCGTCTCAGCAAGAGAAGATAAGCAGGTGTGAAGAGGCTTTCGGTTTGACTAGTTCTTGAATTGTAGCTCGCTGTAGTAAGACGGGTCTGTTGTATGGACTTAGTAAAGTTAGTTTCTTTTGTAACTCAAAGCTCGCAGACTCCTTATTTTGCAACTCCTGTTCAGGTTTGTAACAGAATTGTGCCTGTTGCACAGTTTCTTCCAAGAACAAGAAAAAGAATGTAGCGGGGAGTCCCATGCTGTGCCCAAAGTTTGCTTGTTGTTCCACTGAAATATGGGATGCGCTGTTCACCTACAATAAAATATCATTCTGAACTCCATCAATGGTGGACGTGAACCAAACTTGGCACACAGAACTCCCCTGACCAACAGAAAATACTGGAAGAGTTTAGTGGGCATTGACCTTGAGTTTGGGAGTTGTAGTTCACCTATATCCAGAGAGCACTGTGGACTCTAACAATAATGGATCTTGACCAAACTTTGGCACAAATACTCTATAAGCCCAAATGAGAATACTGGTGAAGTTTGGAGGAAATAGGCCTTGGTATTTGGGATTTATAGTTCACCTACAATCAAAGAGCATTCTGAACTCCACCAACGATGGAATTGAACCAAACTTGGCACACAGAACTCCCATGACCAACAGAAAATACTGGAAGGGTTTAGTGGGCATTGACCTTGAGTTTGGGAGTTATAGTTCACCTACATCCAGAGAGCACTGTGGACTCAAATGATGATGGATCTGGATCAAACTTAGGACAAATACTCAATATGCCCAAATGTGAATACTGGTGAAGTTTGGGAGAAATAGGCCTTGGTATTTGGGATTTATAGTTCACCTACAATAAAATAGCATTCTGAACTCCATCAGTGATGGAATTGAACCAAATTTGGCACACAGAACTCCCCTGACCAACAGAAAATACTAGGAGGGTTTAGTGGGCATTGACCTTGAGTTTGAGAGTTGTAGTTCACCTACATCCAGAGAGCACTGTAGACTCAAACAGTGACGGATCTGGACCAAACTTGGCACAAATACTCAATATGCCCAAATGTGAATACTGGTAGAGTATGGGGGAGATAGGCCTTGGCATTCGGGTGTTGTAGTTGCTGAGATTTATAGTTCACCTACAATAAAATAGCATTCTGAACTCCACCAACGATGGAATTGAACCAAATTTGGCACAAAGAACTCCCCTGACTAACAGAAAATACTGGAAGGGTTTAGTGGGCATTGACCTTGAGTTTGGGAGTTGTAGTTCACCTACATCCAGAGAGCACTGTAGACTCAAACAGTGACGGATCTGGACCAAACTTGGCACAAATACTCAATATGCCGAAATGTGAATACTGGTGGAGTTTGGGGAAAATAGGCCTTGGCATTTGGGTGTTGTAGTTGCTGGGATTTATAGTTCACCTACTATCAAATGGCAATGAGAAAATTAGGCCAAACTTCCCACACAGAATCCCCCTGACCAACAGAAAATACTGTGTTTCCTAATTGTCTTTGGCGACCCGTCTGACACTCCCCTTGTGATCCCCTTCCAGGGGTCCCGACCCCTAGGTTGAGAAAGGCTGTTTTCAAGCAAGTGTGAACCACAACTGCCTAACCCGCTCATTGGCTTGGGGGGAAAATAGGTGTTTGTCCCAAAGCTTCTGGATCTGCCAATTGAGTCCATGGGCTGCCACAAAGGTTGCCTTGTTCCAAGCCCCCGTGGGGATGGCCAAGTGTGGAGGGATTCCCAGGAGACTATTTCAGGGTCTGATAAGCACTGATAATAAGGCAAGGAAGAATCGTGGCTTTGTTTTGGTACACACTGGTGACTCAGGGGGCCAGCTGACCAGGCCGCATCTCCCCCCCCCACCCCCCCACTTGTGCCCTGCGCCTTTGGGCAACCAACCAGCAGCGGGATTCTGCCTGGGGTGACAGCAACAGACAGGTAAAAGATTGGGTTGATGTAGGTTTTTCCAGGTTATATGGCCATGTTCTAGAAGCATTCTCTCCTGACGTTTCGCCTGCATCTGTGGCAAGCATCCTCAGAGGTAGTGAGGTCTGTTGGAACTAGGAAAAAGGGTTTATATATCTGTGGAATGACCAGGGTGGGACAAAGGACTCTTGTCTGCTGGAGCTAGGTGGGAATATTTCAACTGACCACCTTGATTAGCACTTCCAAGCCTCTCAACAAAAGATTGCTCCAGGCACTGTCAGGCAATCAAATGCTAATCAAGGTGGTCAGTTGAAACATTCACCCCTAGCTCCAACAGACAAGAGTCCTTTGTCCCACCCTGGTCATTCCACAGATATATAAACCCTCTTTTCCTAGTTCCAACAGACCTCACTACCTCTGAGGATGCTTGCCATAGATGCAGGAGAAACGTCAGGAGAGAATGCCTCTAGACCATGGCCATATAGCCCAGAAAAACCTACAACAACCCAAAGGACTCTTGTCTGCTGGAGCGAGGTGTGAATGTTTCAACTGACCACCTTGATTAGCATTGGATGGCCTGGCAGTGCATGGAGCAATCTTTTGTTGAGAGGTGATTAGATGTCTCTGATTGTTTCCTCTCTGATGTTTTGCTGTTGTAATTTTAGAGTTTTTTAATACTGGTAGCCAGATTTTGTTCATTTTCATGGTCTCCTCCTTTCTGTTGAAATTGTCCACATGCTTGTGGATTTCAATGGATTCTCTGTGTCGTCTGACATGGTGGTTGTGAGAGTGGTCCAGCATTTCTGTGTCAGACTACACAGAGAATCCATTGAAATCCACAAGAAGCATGTGGACAATTTCAACAGAAAGGAAGAAACCATGAAAATAAACAAAATCTGGCTCCCAGTATTAAAAAAAACTCTAAAATTGCAACAGCAAAACAGCAGAGAGGAAACAAACAAGGACATCTAATCACCTCTCGACAAAAGATTGCCCCAGGCACTGCCAGGCCATTATATGCTAATCAAGGTGGTCAGCTGAAACATTCACACCTAGCTCCAGCAGACAAGGGTCCTTTGTCCCACCCTGGTCATTATTCCACAGATATATAAATCCTTTTTTCCTACTTCCAACAGACCTCACTACCTCTGAGGATGCTTGCCATAGATGCAGGCGAAACGTCAGGAGAGAATGCCTCCAGACCATGGCCATATAGCCCGAAAAAATCTACAACAACCCAAAAGCAAAACAACAGAGAGGAAACAATCTGGGACATCTAATCACCTCTCAACAAAAGATTGCCCAGGCACTGCCAGGCCATTAAATGCTAATCAAGGTGGTCAGTTGAAACATTCACACCTAGCTCCAGCAGACAAGAGTCCTTTGTCCCACCCTGGTCATTCCACAGATATATAAACCCTTTTTCCTAGTTCCAACAGACCTCACTACCTCTGAGGATGCTTGCCATAGATGTAGGCGAAACGTCAGGAGAGAATGCCTCTAGAACATGGCCATATAGCCCGAAAAAACCTACAACAACCCAGAGGAAGAATTATTGGAGGCTACAGACAATGCCGTTGCTGTTGCCCAGTTTTGGTCAAAAGATATTTCGCTGCCTGTGCACCTTCTATTTTTATCATTTTTATACTAATTTCTGCAATGCTTTTGATACGAAATAAAAATAAACTGGCCCTGTCAGCATTACATTCATGTTCAGTAATCCAACCTGTTTCTCTCTCTCCGTCAATTCCAGATTGAGCAGATGAGGAGTGAACTACTTCAGGAAAGGACTTCACGGCAAGACCTTGAGTGTGACAAGATTTCTCTAGACAGACAGGTATGGAGTGGCGTTGGGTTTGCATCCTGATGTATCCAGGGGACGAGTAAGAGTGTTTCTTCCATCTTCAGTCGGGAGCCCTCGGTGGTGCAGCGGGTTAAACCTCTGAGCTGCTGAACTTGCTGACCAAAAAGTCAGCGGTTTGAATCCACAGTGGGGTGAGCTCCCGCTGTTAGGCCCAGCTTCTGCCAACCTAGCAGTTCGAAAACATGCAAGTGTGAGTAGATCAATAGGTACTGCTTCTGTGGGAAGGTAAGGGCGCTCCATGCAGTCATGCCAATGGCCACGTGACCTTGGAGGTGTCTACGGACAACGCCGGCTATTTGGCTTAGAAATTGAGATGAGCACCAGAGTCCCAGAGTTGGATTCGACTAGACTTCATGTCAGGGGAAAACTTTTATCTTCAGTCTGGAGCCCTCAGTGGTGCAGCGGGTTAAACCTCTGAGCTGCTGAACTTGCTGACTGAAAAGTCAGTGGTTTGAATCTGGTGAGTGGGGTGAGCTCCCGCTGTTAGGCCCAGCTTCTGCCAACCTAGCAGTTCGAAAACATGCAAGTGTGAGTAGATCAATAGGTACTGCTTCTGTGGGAAGGTAAGGCTCCATGCAGTCATGCCGGCCACATGACCTTGGAGGTGTCTACGGACAACGCCGGCTCTTGGCTTAGAAATTGAGATGAGCACCAACTCCCAGAGTTGGATTCGACTAGACTTCATGTCAGGGGAAAACTTTTATCTTCAGTCTGGAGCCCTCAGTGGTGCAGCGGGTTAAACCTCTGAGCTGCTGAACTTGCTGACTGAAAAGTCAGTGGTTTGAATCTGGTGAGTGGGGTGAGCTCCCGCTGTTAGGCCAGCTTCTGCCAACCTAGCAGTTCGAAAACATGCAAGTGTGAGTAGATCAATAGGTACTGCTTCTGTGGGAAGGTAAGGGCGCTCCATGCAGTCATGCCAGTGGCCACATGACCTTGGAGGCGTCTACGGACAACGCCGGCTCTTTGGCTTAGAAATGGAGATGAGCACCAGAGTCTCAGAGTTGGACACGACTAGACTTCATGTCAGGGGAAAACCTTTCCCTTTACTATCTTCCAAGTTAGAAAGCCTGCCCATGCTTGGTTTCTGGGCCACAGATTTCATGACTACGCTCTACACATGCTTATTCCAGAACAAAGACTTGAAAAGTCGGATTCTGCACCTGGAGGGCTCTTACAGGTCCAGCAAAGAAGGGCTTCTTGTCCAGATGGAGACCAGGATTGTGGAGCTGGAGGAGCGACTGGAGAATGAAGAGAGGTAAGTCAACACCTATGGAAGGCTTCCAGCTCCTTTATAAGATCCGTTTCCGGCCTCCGCCATGCCACCCTACACACGCCTCATCTCATTCAAAAGAGCCCTTTCTGAAGACTAGAATTTTCAGGCTCTCCCTGAGATACTGAGGGTTGGACTGAGGCCCTTCCGAAGGCCGGGCCGGCATTCTACACCTGAGCTACAACCCGTCCCCACTCAGGTGTAGCAGTAACTTCCATGTCCAAGGGCAGCACAGGCTATATAGCATCATGTAAGGCATCTAGTGGGAAGTATGTACGTGGCGTGCGAGGGGTCGGATCCAAGAAAGCATAACTTGATACCTAATGCTCTTGGTGTTCACTTCTGGGTGTAACCTTTCCTTTTCTTGCCAGAGATCGTGCAAACCTCCAGCTCAGCAACCGTCGGCTTGAAAGGAAAGTCAAAGAGCTCATGATGCAGGTGGACGACGAGCATCTCTCCCTGACGGACCAGAAGGACCAGGTAGAGGGGGAATACCTCGCTTTCCTTGCTTGGCATTCATAGGCTTCTCATCCCCTCAGATACAACTCTTAGGATAGTTTGACAATCTTCTTAAACCATTTCATAAACTACTCACCATGAATTGGCTGCCCTTGTGCTAGTTTAGGGAGAAATTAGGAAAGCCCCTACCCTAGAAACCTTTAAAAAGAACCTCAAAACCCGGCTCTTCCGCTGTAGGTATTCAATCCCGCACTATTGATTAGCCTCAACGTCTTTGTCATTGGAGTACACATTCCCCCTTCCCCTATGGGAAAGTTGATCCCACAATCCCCACTATTATTTATTTATTTATTTACAGCCCTTCTCCTCACCCCGCAGGGGACTCAGGGCGGATTACAGTGTACACATATATGGCAAATATTCAATGCCAATTTTTGACATACAAACATATACAGACATACACAGAGGCAATTTAACTTTTTCTGTCGCTTTCATCGTCCATCTGCGACACTGATGAAGCACTTCCGCATTCCCCGCATGCTTCCCCGCACTTCCGCATTCCCCGCATCCTTCCCCGCTGGAATGCTTTGCTGGAGTCTTCTTTATGGCCTCATAAATCGGTTAATTTAGCCTCCCCACACTTTAAGGTGGTACCTTATTTTCCTACTTGACAGATGCAGCTGTCTTTCGGGTTGCAAAGGTCGACAACAGGCTACACACAATTGGAAACCCACTCCAACCAGGGCTGGCTTCGAAGTCATGACCTTTTTGGTCAGAGTGATCTTAATGCAGCGACACTCAGCCAGCTGCGCCACAATCCTGAGTCCTCATCGGCAAACAATTTTTTTTCTCCTTTATCTCGCCCGAGTTTTTAAGCAATTTTAACGAGTCTTTCTTTTAATCATTCCATGTAGCCCGCCCACTGTTATTGTGATTGTGTTATTGTAATTTTATATCGTTATTTATTTATATGTTTTATGTAATTATGATGTTGTGTTTTGTTTGCGTTTTTCGTTGTATTTTATTGTGTTTTGTTGTTTGGGATTGACCTCATGTAAGCCGCTCCGAGTCCCCATTGGGGAGATGGTGGCGGGGTATAAATAAAGATTATTATTATTATTATTATTATTATTATTATTATTATTATTATTTACTGTACTTGTATACCGCCTTTCTCAGCCCGTAGGCAATTCAAGGCGGTTAATGTCACGTTGCCAGGGCTCTGCCTTATTTAGGTAGAGATGAACCAAACTCCCAGTTTTATCAAACAGTTTAATTAAAACAGCATTTACTTCCTGGCTGTTTTAATAGACCAAAGTATAAAGATAGCACTCAGCCACAGAATAAACAAAAACTGGTAGCAAACGCTACACTGTAGTCAAAGGGTCCAGTTTGAGGGTCACAAATGCTGAGAGTTCAATAAACAAAGTCCAGGGATCAAGAGTCTATGCCGTAGTCAAAAGCCAGTCCAAAAGTTCAAGGTTCCAAGATTACAGGAGACAGGTCAGGATACCGAAAATCCAACAGACCTGGGGGGGGGGGGGACCAGCAGCATCCACCACCAAAATATGACAATACTTTTCTCCCAAAGATCAGTCCCAAGGCTAGCTCCTATATCCAGAAACACCCAGCTGCAACCCATCTCTTGCATACCTCCACCCTTAATTGCTTTCACCCATGAACTCTTACTTACAGATTACTCAGCCCTTTAGAATTACATTAATTTATCATAATGCTGAGTCTCTGCAGAATATAGACTGCAACCCCCCCCCCCAGCAATGTTTGTGAAGTTGCATGAGATGTCTTCTAGGCCTGTGCGGTTTTGTTCGTTAATTCGTTAATTCGTTATTAATTCGTTATTTTTGGCATTTCCGAAGCGATATCAAAACACTAGGCCTGTTTGATCAAGAAAAAATTTGTTTCTAAAATCGATTTGTAATTGGGGTGTTTTTTTGTTTCGATATTTAAAATAATTACAAAACTTTCCAAAAAAAAGTTTTGGTATTTAAGAAATTTTGTAAATATTAACGAATTTTTAGAATATTTTTGGTATTTCTTAAGAATAATATTAAAATAATATTAAAAAATATTTTAAAATGGAAAATTAACCAAAAAATGGCCCAAATGTGGACCAAACACAGGCACGATACAGCAAATGAGAGCACACACCAACAGAAGAGTCTTTTCTTTTTTAGAATATTTTTTAAAAATAATAGTAAAATAATATTAAAATAATATTAAAAAATATTTTAAAATGGAAAATTAACCAAAAATGGCCCAAATGTGGACCAAACACAGGCAGGAGACAGCAAATGAGAGCACACACCAACAGAAGAGTCTTTTCTTTTTTAGAATATTTTTAAGAATAATATTAAAATAATATTAAAAATAATATTAAAATAATATTAAAAATATTTTAAAATGGAAAATTAACCAAAAAAATGGCCCAAATGTGGACCAAACACAGGCAGGACACAGCAAATGAGAGCACACACCAACAGAAGAGTCTTTTCTT